TTTTGACATTAATAAATTTATTAGTAATTTTAAACTGACTTCAGATACTATGTATCTTTCAAAGAAATCTCGGACACAATTAGCTAATTTGTTAGCTTTTAATTTACAAATTGTAATTACTTCTTTTAAAACTGACATTAGTACTTGTACTAATTCAAATCTTTTGATAAATTGTAGTTCTACAATAAACTCTTTAGATTTAAACTGAAGCGTATGACAAAAGCTAAGCCCCATTATGTCAATATTATTCACCAAAATATCCAGGGCTTGGCCGGCAAAGACTTAGAGTTAGAATTATTAGCTAAAAGTCATGAAACTCATATCATGTGCATAACTGAACACTGGCTGCAACAACATGAAATGTCATTTTATTTAAACAATTTTCAACTCTCCAGTGCATTTGTACGCAGGACAGCTATTCATGGAGGGTCTTTAATTTTTGTAAAACATCATGTAAAATGTAAGGAAAGAAAGGACATTGTAAGCCTTTCAGTGGAACGCCATGTTGAGCTGTCGTGTGTAGAGTTAGTAAATTTTTATATAGTATGTGTATACCGGCCCCCCTCAGGAAACTTTGATACATTTGAATCAGTCATGGAGGACTCTCTCAATAAATTAAAAAATAAATCTGTAATAGTATGTGGTGATTTTAATGTCAATCTACTTGAAAATAGCTCTTTGAGTCTTCGGTTAATTACTTTGTTTAAATGTTTTAATTTAAATTTCCAGTTTACTGAACCAACCAGAGTAACATCTCACTCAGCCACTTGTTTAGACAACTTTTTTTCTGAATTGGATGCAATTGAAGGGTCAGTCTTTAGTGATATTACTTCCGATCATCTCGGTTTAAAGACAACATATAGTTTCAATGTCAGTACTGAGCCGAACATAATAGAGTGTAGACCTATAACAAATGAGCGCGTTAATAATTTTAAAAATAACATTAGCGATAAACTACCTTTAATGCCTTGGACGCATGATGATCCGGATATTTTGTACAAAAATCTTTTTAATTTAATAAATAATGAATTTCAAAATACGTTCAGAATGAAAACCATTAAATGTACACAGAAGTTGCAGTTCTGTGACTGGGCGACAAGTGGTATATATAAGAGTAGAACAAGGCTGTATGAGCTTTATAGAATCAAAGAATATAACCAGGATCCTGAGTTTATTAACTATGTTAGAAAATATTCCAAATTGTTTAAAAGCATATGTAATACTGCAAAGTCCAATTTTATTAGGGATAAAATTAAAAAATCTAGTAAGAAAATAAAGACCACTTGGGATATCATTAAGCGCGAAAGTGGCAAGTGTAAGCCTCGTGAAAATAGCATGGTTCTTAAAATCAATAATAATCTCGTAAAATCGAAACATGAAGTCGCAGATATTTTCGATAATTTTTTTATGAATATACCATTAGAAACTACTTCCAACTTGGACTCATCGTCTGATACTGCTACAGCTCTGTTACAAAAATATGTACCTCCGTGTGGTTTATTATTTAATTTCAAGCACGTTAGTTCTTTTAAAATAATTAAAGTTTTCCATTCATTAAAAATGAAAAATGCATCTGATTTATGGGGTATATCTGTCAAAGTCATAAATAATATTATACATTCTATAGCCCCTTACCTAGCTGATATTTTTAATTCATGTATAGATCAGGGAGTATTCCCTGATCTTATGAAATTCAGTAAAATCATACCTTTATTTAAGTCTGGAAATTGTAAAGATCCTAGCAACTATAGGCCAATATCTATATTACCAGCATTGAGTAAAATCTTTGAAAAAATAATGTTAGAACAATTGTTGACTCATTTTAACATTAATAAACTTTTACACAGAGCGCAGTACGGTTTCACTAAAAACCGTTCCACGACTGATGCTGGGGCCACTATGCTAAAATATATATTTAATGCTTGGGAAAAGTCGCAGAATGCTCTTGGGGTTTTCTGCGATTTATCTAAAGCGTTTGATTGCGTTAATCATCAAACTTTGTTACGGAAATTAAATCATTACGGCATAAAAGATTCCGCACAAAAATTAGTGCAATCATATTTAACAGAAAGGACACAAATAGTTGATATTAACGGTACAAAATCAGCCGGATCTCATGTGAAAATAGGCGTTCCTCAGGGTTCAATTTTAGGTCCATTTCTTTTTTTAATTTACATTAATGATTTACCTTTCTTTGTAGAAAATTTTTGTGAAATTGTTTTGTTTGCAGATGACACCTCGCTAATTTTTAACGTTGACAGGTGTAAAACAAATTATGACGATGTAAACAATGCACTTTCCAAGGTACTTCACTGGTTCTCTTCTAATAATCTTAAACTGAATGCGAGCAAAACTAAATGTGTGAAATTTACTTTGCCGAATGTAAAGCATGTTGAAATGGGGGATATAATTCTAAATGGTGAAAAACTAATTTTAGTCGATACAACCGTTTTCTTAGGCGTAACACTAGACCACAAACTTCAATGGAACCCTCACATTACAACACTAGCCGGTAAACTAAGTTCTGCTGCTTATGCAATTTATAAAATAAGACGGCTTACAGATGTCGACACTGCTAGGACAATATACTTCAGCTACTTTCACAGCATTATGTCATATGGCATTCTATTATGGGGCACGGCCGCAGACATTGAAACAGTTTTTATTCTTCAAAAACGAGCTATAAGAGCCATTTACCGCTTGGGATCTCGAACTTCTCTTAGGGATAAATTTAAAGAAATAGGTATAATGACTGTTGCCTCTCAATACATTTACAATTGTATATTGTTTGTGCGTCAGAACATAAATTTATATACGAGGCGCGATGATGTACATAATTTCAATACCAGAAATAAAGATAAACTCAAATTGCCACCATTGAGACTCCAAAAGGTTCTTGGTTCATTTGTGGGTCAAGGTATATGTTACTATAATAAAATACCAAAAGAAATAATTAATTTACCTTTTAATAAGTTTAAAGTGTGTATAAAAACATGTCTCCTTAAGAAAGGTTACTATACTGTAAAAGATTTCATAAATGATAAGTCACCTTGGGCTTAACATAATAGACTGTCTTTTTACTTTGCTAATTTGGTTGAAAATTGTTTAATCGCCACTTCTAAATTAAAAAATAGTACCTAGTTATACTTAACTTTTGTTAATTAATAATATTAATGTGATGGAAGTTGACATCAACACATGTATTCAATTTTTGATGTCATCTTTCAATTGACGACACTGTGTGAAACAAAACAGGGAGAAAAAAATAGCCCTTGCTGAGTTTCTTGCCGGTTCTTCTCAGTACAAGGTCTCCCGCCGTAGATTTACGAACCGATGGCGTAGCGTTTGACTTTCACAAGAGCTTGTAACAGCCTAGACTGAATAAATGAGTTTGAATTTGAATTTGAATTTGAATGTATCCACCAACCTTTTTATCATCATTTAAACACATGTGTAGTTTTCAAGAATACTGTTTATTTAAGATTTCTAAGTTGGTTATTACCAGTAGTTATTAAGTTGTTTACTTCTAATGTGCTATTCAGACTGGTTGGGGATTTAAGCATTAATTTTTCCGCCAACCTTTTTTATCATCATATTAGCACACCAGTATTTCCCTCAAATACAGTATTTTATTGCTCGGCCCCAGGTTGGGCGCCATTTTGTAACAATTTTTGTTACCACCGACTATTTCAGGGCTTTTACATGAGACTCGAAATTAATTAATCTATAATCAGGGCGCCGTTTTACTGTTATTTGAGGGAGATAAAATAAAAATCAATAACCGCAGTGAACAAGATAAATGTATTGTTAATATTCAGTTCAATTTTCAACATATATTAACACACTTAACATTATAAATTAAGATCTTTGAAGATGGCTTTTATAAATTAAGGTATAGAATATCAGTGACGAACATACAATCAGAACATGTGTACATACAGTTATATTAATGTTAATATTCTAAGGAAACATTTTGTTCTATCAAGTATCGTACATACAAATTTATTTATATAAAGATTCTAATGAAACAATTCGTTTGGCAAATATGAAGCTACTTTCGTTAATGAATCTACAGTTTACAACAATAAATCTTTTATTTATGTTCTAACAATCTGAAACTTCGTACTTCGGAGAATGCACTGCTTAAAGATTAAATAGGTTGAGAGTTTACTTAGCTTTCAAGATATTGGTACCATCAAGCGATTCCGGCATCCACGTGGATGGTAATAGAATCTGCTGTCATCACCAGTGTTCTTTGTTTGATTAAGATTGCATTCACAGGCTCATTTATATATATATATATATATCCAAAGAAATCCCAAGCAGGATTAAGTAATTGTGATTATCGTATACTGTTTTTAATTAGCCACTTCAAAGGACCTAAAAACAATCACACATCTTTCTATAGTTCAATAAAAAACCTAACTTGACCTACAGCCTAAACAGTTAGCTATATTGGACTTACCCGTTAATCCGGGGAAAATATTTTAATTAATTATGCACTGACTATACTTTCCAGTCACTGTGCAATTTACTAGATGTTCAAGTGTTCGGTTCGCAGACAAAAGAGAGTGAAATCGTCTGCGCAAAGCTATTTATAGTGGCCTAGGATCACGTGACGGCGTCCTAGCAAATTTCTCTCAAATCACCATATTTGGTGCGAGGAATCGACAGGACCGGTTAATACGGCTACGCCCATCTCCCTCCAAGAAACTGCTTCCTGAACAATAGCTAATCACGTCATCAATACGTGTAATTTCATTTAACACTATTAAATACAACTCCATCTATCTCATCATTCAAATACAACTATCATATTTTTTTTTTCATAATATATTCTGTGCTTCTTTAAAACCAATTACATTGTTAGATGATGGATACGTATGGTGATAGATGGCGCTTTGATTAGTAATATTTCTACAACTTAATATTCTAAAATTATATTGCTACAGACTTAGTCTCACCACGCAGTGGTGTCATAATTTTATTTATACTTACAGATGGAGTAAGAAAGAGATGAGAGGCATGGACGGACATTCGCTGGTGCTTGAAGGTACATACAATATAATCTATGGTAAGTAATCACCCTTCGTCTCTCGATTCTCCCTTTGTCACGTGTCTATCGTCAAAATCTCGCGATCCACGGTGGATACGTTTGTATCACGGATATGGGCTGCATTGACAGCCCCGCCCCCAAGAGGGTCGCGACACCATGTCTTCGAACTCTTTCTTAGCGGACGCTAGTTTCTGCGGAGTGAGACGGCGGGGACGACAGGAGACCGGAGGACCATCCGTGGTTTTAATATAATGGAGGGTGTTGTGCTTGACGACTCTCGAAAGACCAGGAGGTTTGGTAATTTCCGGGAAATCTAAAAGCAGAATTTTGAACTCGTCGTCTTCCGAAAGTACAGCCATAACACTGGGTTGTTCCGAAGTGACAACAGCTGTTACAGCCGATAAGCCGGTGATGCCATCAACCAAGCGTTTGGATCGGCAATCGGGAAGCAGGTGGTAGTGGGACAGGAAGTCCGAACCGATGATGGCCGTGTTAACGTCGGCGACGACAAAAGTCCACACGAAGCTGCGGCGGAGACCAAGGTTGAGCGAGAGGCTTACGGTACCGTAGGTCCTGATGCCACTCCCGTTCGCGGCGCTGAGCTCGTAGTCGGTGGGTTTCCTCGGTCTAGTGAGCCAGCGGTAGGGGTAGCAGCATAAGTCGGACCCGGTGTCAATTAGAAACTGCCGCTTGGTAACTTTTCCGTGATGAAGAGGCGGCGGCCAGAGCTGCAATCAATCTCGCAATCAGTTGCCGCCGTTACTGATTGCTCTCCGCGTTTTCCGCCTTCCAGTTACAAGGGCTGTTGCACCGGACTGCCTTCGTACCAAACTTCATGTGGTACCAACAGGTCTTGCGTCTCTCCAGAGTAGTGCTGCGCGAAGACCTACCTGTTGAAGAGGAGCGGGCGCGGGGTAGGCGCTGGGATTGGGCTTTCGTTAAAGCAGCTATCGATCTGCTCAATTCATCGAGTCGCTCCATCATCAACTTCACTGTTTGCTCCGTGCTGGCAGCGGATGACGTGCTAGTAACAGCCGTAAAAGGAAAGCTACAGACAGATGGCCTGAAAGTATGTATCGATAGAGTTAAATCTCGGACAGGCAAACACGTGCTTAGGAGACGGACACAAAACTAAACTAAACAAAAATAAAATTAAAATATTCATCAAGATTCAAAAAAAAAACATTGCATTATAAAAGTAATATTTACAATTATTTTGAAAGTTAAAACGTAAAACAAAGATAGAAAAATAGTAAAAATACAAATAAAAAATACAAACAAAACACTGTCGTAAATGATGACGCAGTAAGATGTTAACACGGCGTCACGTCACGGCGCTCTCGTCCCAGAATGTATTGACATCTGTGGTGTATTTCCAGCGTGTGCCCGAATTGCGAGCGATCGCTGATGTGTTGACTACCGGCCGTAGTAATAATGGGAAAACTCACCCCTGTAGTTGACTTGATAGTATTATGTACATACGAGTAAGACGGAAGGCCTTTGCCGTGTAACTCCTGTTTGTCTAATTTATTTCTTCACTTGTCGAGGGTCACCAATTTGGGGATGTTTAACCGCTGCTCCCCTCTAACGGAACGGAGTAATTAAACGACGATACGTCAACTTATCAGCACTATATTTGGAAAATATTTTCTCTAAGTCTATTCATTTATTATCAGTTTTAATAATACAAGTTTTAAAGTTATGTATGAATGGCATTTAGTTGTTTACTAAAAGAGACATCACAATCATGGTGGATGTGGCGAACAGCGTTTTTAGTGTTTAAAAAGTATAGACTAAAAATTATTTTTCTAAATTAAATTTCTACAGCAATCTTCTGCTTTTATGCAGTGAAATCGATATATTTAGGTTCCTTAGACCAAATATTTTAAGAAATAAACATTTATTTAATACAATTCGACATGAGTCAACTAGCCTATTGTTCAATGCCGAAAGTATGAATAATCGCAGTCTGTTTCAGTCCATTGTACACCCTGTTGGTGTGGGTTGTAGGCAGACGATGAAACATGTATGGTTCTGTGTGGTTTCTGGTTGAACCTCTAAAGAATGTGTCAGTATTTGGTAGTAGTTAATATACTTCATTGCACTAGGTGTAAAGATAGAATAAGACAACCACACAGAATGCCCACATGGTCTCTACGCGACACTCACCTTTTCATTCTGTATGGAGAAGAACAAGGATGCTCTGTTGTCAAATTTAAATTTAACTTTAGAGAATCATGCCAGAATCGACATCAACATCTCGCTGACGTCGCTAAGTTATTCAACTTAGATTTAGATGATTAAATTGTATTCTGAAACACGTTCTAAATGTCAAATTTTCTCTAAAATTAGAAATGTCACACTATATTTAAGAAGTACCTACGGAGGTCCTCTCTAAATTAAAATGTGAATAATTAGGGCCAAATATTAGGTAAATGATTGCTGTACGTAAGTTTAGAACTTGTATAATTAAGGTTATAGTTAAGGTTGGATATGGGTTTGTTTCGTAAAAAAAAGTCATACATTTTATACAATAATGAACGACGACGGCGATACGACAATAATGAACGACCACGCGGGCCTAATGCGGCTTAGTGGGGGCTAACAACTGCAGATGCAGCGTGCAGCAACATAGGAACTCCATATCTCCATATATGTAATACATTTTTGGTTGATCACCCATCTTAAGATCGGCCATTGTGAAAATTGCTTAACGTTCACGATCGCAGAACGAACGCGTTACACTTGCGCTTTTGTGGTACTTCGTGGGTAAAGTATACTAGGGTGGAGTGAAAAAAATTTTTTTTTCATAGTCGTTTCGGAATATCTGTAAAAATGTTGATGGTGTTATTGTTCACAAATATACATACCTACAAAATTTTATTTGGCACATGATAAATTTAGGGGTGCCCCCAATATTTGAAATTCGCAAAAAACACCGACATCTAATAATGTCAAATGAACGCTCATGTAAGTAATATTTTTAATTTCCTGTTCACAGATTGTCATGACCCACTATTTTCGATATAATTTATACCTATTATTTCTCTTTATTACCGTCAAATGTCGCAAGTCAAAACACGAAAAGAGATGTTGTCCTGTGTTTGGTTTACCGGAAAAGTTACCAGTGTCTCAATTACCAACTTATAATGCTGTTATGAAAAATTATTTATTGAAATATGAATTAAAGCTTGACAAAACAACAAAAGAGTTCATGTTATATATCAAAGATTGGCTACGGAAATTTTAGATATCTGGCAAAAAACGTCGTTTCCTACTGTCAGCTTTAAGATAGTACTTCATCTTATTCCATCTTACCATGACAAATATAGAAGCTTACTAAAACCTTATTAGGCCGTCAAATGAACAAGAAATGAAATGTCAAATATATATAAAATTTTAATCTGTGTTAGATAAAATGATACGTATTTTTTATTATACATATTTCTGTGTAAGAATGGTCGCACCGCAACATCCCGCACTGTGTCATTGCCTCCGCTGTTCGCATGCGCAAAGACTGAGTTGTTATTTTTGTTTGTTAATTCTACCTACATTTTTGAATTGTTAGTCGACATCACAGACATATAATACTATAGCACAGTGGTTCTCAAACTTTTTAAATGACGGAACCCTTTTGGGAAGCAAAATACTTGATGGAACCCTACAATAAAACAATTATTTTTATAAGTGTATTCTATATTAATCAGCATAATAAAAGTACAATGTATCCGTTACTAATTATTATTTACTTCACCACTTGGTAAGGACAATAATAGAAAACATTAAAAAAGAAAAAATCTAACTAGTGGGAGGTATGAAACTGTTTTTTATTTTTCATCAATTGCTTGATATCAGGTTTGATGGAAGAAAGTTGGAGTCTCATATCAGCTTCGGCGTCCAGTCTATTGCGATATTTTGTTTTCGTGGCTGCGTAGGTAGAGAATCCTGTTTCGCACAAATATGTAGTTGGGAACGGGAGAAGAATATCCAGAGCCATTTGGCCAAGCATTGCATATTCATCTTGGATTCTGCACCAAAAATCATTAAGAGGCGTCGTTTTGAACAATGACTCCATACTTGTGTCTGATGACATTTCTAAAAGAGATTCATATATCTCATTTGACATGTTTTCAGGCTTTTCCAAGTTGGGTAAAAAAGGATTATGAATCCAGGAGTTCACTTTAATTTTTGTATTGTGTTCTTCGGGAAAATACTTTTCAAAAGATGCGCGCATCGAACTGAGATATTGGACCAATTCTTCAAACACATTATCTTCAAACATTTCTGAGTCGTTTTCGCTAACAAACTCAGTGAGTAACGTAAAACTTTCTATTTCTTTCTTACCAATGCAAATGATCCAAAAATCTAATTTTCTTTTAAAAGTAGTTATTTTATTATAGGCCTGAAACACTGTTGTCTGTTTACCTTGCAATGATAAATTTAATTCGTTAAGTTTTTGAAAGATATCCGCCATAAAAGACAATCGGAACAACCAAGTTTTATCATACAAACGGTCCTTCAAATTAAAAGAAGTATCTGCTGAAAGAAACATTTGTAACTCGGCTCTAAGTTCAAATAGCCTTGTTAAAGTTTTTCCCCGAGACAGCCATCGCACTTCTGTATGGAGCAGCAGTGTTTTATGTTTGCTGCCATAATCTTCACACAATAATGAGAACAATCGGGATTGTAGTGGTCGTGATTTGATAAAATTAATTATTTTTACCGCTTCATCCATAACTAATTTTAGATTAGACGGCATTTGCTTCATCGCAAGTGCTTGTCTATGCAGAATACAATGACTGGAACTACAATTAGGCGCTTTATTTTTCATTCGTGACACTGCTCCTGCTGTTTTACCTGTCATCGCCTTGGCCCCATCTGTACAAATGTCAATGCAATTGTTCCAACTGAGATTATGTTCTTCAAAAAATATATTTATTTTATTAAAAATTTCTTCCCCGGTAGTGTTTGTAAGCAGCGATGAACACATAAGCATGTCTTCTTCAAAAGAACTTTTA